TTGTTCTGCTGTGATCTTGCTAGATGTCCTGCCCATCTTAATCTTCCTATTCTTATAAGAGATACTACGTCTTTACCACCAAATATTTGTTTATATCTGTGGTATACCTCGTAGTTGTATCTCCTCCTCCAAACACCATTTTCACAGATGCCACCAAATATTCCTCTCAGGATCCTTCGTTCAAATATAAGCAAAAGGTCTTCGTCTGCCTTGGAGATGATCCATGTCTCCGATCCATATGTCCACACTGGCTGTATCAGGGTTTTGTATATAGTTATTTTTGTTTTTTGTATTGTTTTTATAGTTAGTTTCTACTTCTCATATGTCTACTCAGTCCAAAATAGCATCTGTTTGCCATTACTATCCTTCGCTTGATTTCTTCCGTTATGGCGTTCTCTTGGTGATCAGGGAGCCTAAATATGTTAGTCACCCAGATTTGGTCTATAGGCGTTCATTCGGTATTCTGTCCTCTCGTGGTGATGTTCGGTTTCTAATTTACTTAATGCTTCATTTACCTCTTCTTTCTCAATATCTATTTCTTCGTTTATCGTCACTCCTGGGTTTGGTGATTCATTATCGTCACCTTTAGCAAATAGGGATCGAAAGTAGTCTACTTACGTTTCCTTCTTAATGTGTTTCGTTTTTATTAGTTCGTTCATCTCTTTTGTTTGTCCTGTGATCGACGAAATTTAAAAAAAATGAAAAAAAAAACTATATCTTCATTTTTATCTGGGTTTCCAGAATTTGTTTCAAGGCATTTTTACGGTCATATGATATTATCTGTTAGTTGTTATATATAGCCAATTTTTACTTCACACCGTTTTATCTATTTTTATCTTGTTAAAATAATTAATTATTCCCTAAATATCTACACAAAAATATTGTATGTGAAAAAAGTTAACTATTAGTGCACAATATACTTTCATGTATTTATTAAACTACTCTATACAAACAACAATAAATTTATCAAATTAATTGCATGTCTTAGTTATTCTACATGTTTTATTATTTGAACTACATTAAGTGCATAGAAATCGGCCCACTTCACAATTTTTCACAAAATGTAATACCGTTTTGTATTTGGCTTGTAATTTTTTTGTTTCTTAAACAATTTGTGATTTTTCGTTCACAAATACATAGTAGTATTGTATGTATAGTATTATATTTTAATATTAAAAATAAGACATAGCGGTATTGTTAAAAAGGAATATTTGAAAAAAGGGAATTTTGTATCTAATATGGAAGACGGTACCACGCATGTAAATCGATAAATATTGTTAACTCTATAAGATCACACTTGGGTGTGAGCTATGAGCTTAGATTAATAAAACGAAACTGGTTTCATTAATTTAAAGAGGCCATACACGCGAACTTGATCGAAGTTCAGCGAGTACGGGAGTGTAGAGAGATACTTCATGCTACTTCGCTTCGCCTCGTTCTACTTCCGTTCTGTGAAGAGCCCGAGGTTCGAATAGGCAGTGTCACACTAGATTACACGACTTCACGAGTATGTATAAAGCCACATCGCCTCGATTCACTTCACTTCAACACTTCGTCCGAAGAACGTCGATCAAGAGTGTAAACGGCTTTTAAGGTTGTGAGATACCCCTCGAGGTACTTAACTGAATGTAGCATGAGCAACCGCATTTAAATGGTAATGCCGCTCCATGTCACAGCATATGGAACAAATGCTATGTTCATGTAAATGAATGAACTATGCTATGAACTCTCATGTAAATTTATTATGTAGTCTGCCAAAGACAGATGTGTACTTGCGGCACAGTATATTGCTAAAGCATTGAACTGTGGTTGTTGTCTCATTCGAGCAATATTTCCAATCACGAAAATTTATTGAATAAACGCTAGGGTATGTAGCACCAATGTGTGAGGTTTGCGATAATTAAATAATTTTTTTATAATTATTTTTAGTGAAATGATTTTCTAAAGCTCTGGAGATATTAGGAAATGTCGAAAGATATTAATCTCAATGAAGGAAAAATCCGAATCTACACCTCCACGTGGTAGAAGATGGGCAAGCAAAATCCTAGTTTAGATAATAAAGTTCCACGTCTAAAGGAGGAGAACCATGGACGTATAAACACAGATGGACACAGCAATAAGATACCTTTAACACACAATGTTTTGAAGCTTCGATAGAATGTGATGCTTCCTCAATGAGCATAAACGTGCTTAAAGTTTTACTCGCGGGGATAATTATTCAGACTTTAAAAATTGGAAGTAGTAATAATGTTTAAAAACACGTTCAAAGAATTAAAAAAAAACTATTAACAAATCACGTCTTTATAGAAAAATTAAAATACAATTTTATTTGCTTTAAAATTAATATAATAAAATATAGTTGAATTCAAGTTAATTTTTTAATAGGTAATAGTATAAAATGATGCTAGAATAAAAAATCTTTGTTTTCTCCTAAATTTGCTACCCAAATAGTTCGATCGTCAATATTATTTGGAAACCTACATAGAAAAATAAATTAGTTTTATTCATTTCACTAATTTATTTGTATCCATGAGAAATATTAAATTAAAAAAGTACTAAATAGATATTTTTTAATCAGATGATGTATACTTAGAATTTAAAAATGTACTAATTTCATGAACTCATATCTTATTTAATACATTAATGAACATAAATAAACCCAATGGTACGCCTATGAAAGACCTGTTTTAAAATGTAAACAAACACGCTTCCTCAGTTCCTCATCTTAAATAATGTAAATAGACAGTACTTACAAATGAAATGAGAGATCGGGATGTAAATATTTCGTTTTTTTTTTCAAATGCAACACTATAGCACCATTATTATAATATGTTTATTTCACTTTTCACAAATATCATTCAAAATACAGCCAAAATATCAAAAACAACTTTTCCTCATCTACTGTAAAAAGTAAACAAATATGGAACATGGAACAGCACAGCATTTGAAGTTTGACGTAGAGCCATAAGACAGAGAAATGTAAATACCGTTGCTATTTATAAATAGTTTTCAGTGCTTCTACACATGATACTATGACTAAAAAGATAAGATAATGCGCATAAGTCGTGACGTCATTGGAGAGTTGCACATTCGAAATGTCAGTTTTTTGTATGTATCAATAAATAATCTTTAATAAATAGTTTGGAGATATCCTTATGTGTACGATTATTGTAATTATTAAACCTCTTAACCTATTTTCGTCTAGTAATTTCATCACAGATTACATACAAATCCCACTTAACTTTAACAAGAATTCAAATTCTACTCTCCAATGACGGCATGCGCGAACACGACCGATTTTGTGCTACGGGAAGATCCTATCTTGTTAGTTATTGTATCATGCTTCTACATATAAAATATTTGATTGATATCTATTATACGCTATTATTAAATGATAATGCACACTATGTGCACATTTGGTATTTTGATTACAATTAAATATATTAATATAACCCATAAATTATTATTTTGGTTTGATAGCACCTGTAGAGTATAAAATACGGAGTAATATTTTCAGCGACTCGCGAATAAGAAATTTTAATAAAAAAACGTGACAACAGTTGAAGGTGCTGAAAATGTGACCTATTCAAATAATTTTGACTTCACAATTTTATGTAAATAACTGAGTTCATCTGTGTTTATACATCCATGAGAAGAACATTTTTACATGAAGTTGGACACAATTTTAAGATCTATTAAAAAATAAGACATTGCAATAGTAATGGGGGACTTTAATGCTAAAGTCGGGAGAGGAAAAGTTGATGAATATGTTCAGAAACTTGGACTTGTGACAGAAACGAAAGAGGAGATAGACTTGTGGATTTTTGTCAAAATGAACATTTTGCAATAATGAACACACTCTTCCAACCACCCTACAGAAGATTATACACTTGTATATCTCCTGCAGACAACAAAGACCGCATAGATATCAAGTAGACTATATATTAGTCAAAAATAGATACAAAAACTCAATTAAAGTAGTTAAAATATACCACGGAGCCGATATCAACTCAGACCAAAACCCGCTGATAGCTAGAATGCATGTGAAACTCAAAAATATTATAATACCTAAAAACAAACTAACTTTTGATTATACATAATTAAGAAAAAGATAAATACATCAAAAAGTGATCCAACAAGTCAACTCAAATCTAACAGAAGTAGGAGAAGAAATCTTAGCATCAGATGTCAATGAAAAGTGGAGCAATATTCAGAAGGCATTACTACAGGCCACAGAAGCAAATTTAAAGCCTGCAAATTAATTAATTAATGCATAGAAATAGAAGCGTATGACAGAAAATACGACAGCTTTATTATTCATAAAAAAAATAAAAGAGAAAAAAACAAATACCAAAAAGCGAGCACACTATGGGATACTCAAGGATGATACTAGTACCAGATAATTACGAACACACTGCGTTCGTAGTTTTCTGCTAGTACACTCACACTAAATTGCAGACATCAAAGATAAACTAAGATTTGGGCAAGAATACATAATAAAACTATTCGACGATGATAGAATGATACAAGACGGAGCAGAAGAATAAACAGGACCGAAAACAATCGTTTGCGAATTAGAACAGGCATTTAGAAACGCAAAGACCGCAAAATCGGTAGGCCCAGATCAGATACCCACTGAGCTAATCCCGAAGATTGGTTGCTGTCCACATTTATAACACTACCAAAGTCACAACATGCAACAGAATGCTCAAAGTACAGAACAATTAATTTTCTTAATAAACCACACGCTTAAGATAAGTCTCCTATCTTAAGCGTAAATTTTTTTTAAATACAAATACAACTTAAATAACTTTTCAATAGTTTAAAACTAGAAAATATTCACAATAATCTTTTCCAGTTCACGCTATGGTAAGTAGACGTATCCACGAAATGCACAAGGTGTAACAGAGCATTGTTTTACATATGTAGAGTTCTCTTTTAGTGTAATTGAAATAATTATTACGGGTAAATAAATATACATACAGTATATTTTAGTTAAAATGAACCATCACAAGTAGGTCAATTGATATTAAGACTAAAAAATCCTGAAAAGCATCAACTTTGTATTTGAAGTAGTTAAAAAAAGAATCAACAATCAACTAGCCCGTGTATATATCTATTCAGAGGCGCACCCAGGAATGGGGGTATTGGGGATTAAAACCCCCTCCAGGACACTATTCGGCCACTGTTACTCACAAATTTTAAGGACTTATAATGCTGGAGGTAGCATAAACAAAATTTCGGTGCCCAACCAACGAGTGGGAGACTGAAAACTTTTCTACAAAGAGAAATAACCCAAGAGCAAACTGGATTTACCAGTAGATGTAGAGATACTTAATTACCACCTTTTTTATACATTTCCTAACAGATTTTATCGATTGCTGGGGCTATATTGTCTTTGAGTTTTAGGGTCGAATTTGACACTTCTCCTGTTGGGTATTCACTGCCCATCTGTTAATAACTGAGTTTTTATCATGTAGAAAGGGAATTCAATATCTCGGTATATATTTGTTTTATAGATTATCGCAAAGCTCTCGACAGGGTTAAAGAGCAATACTTATGGCAGGTACTTAAAGAAGTAGGTATACCACCGCACTTAAGAAATATAAGTGACTTTTCGATATAGTTACATTTTGGGTTAACGGGGACCATTGACATAGGTGCAGTGTTACCCAGTGGTGGTCCCCATTACCCTGTTGTCAGAAGTTTAATGGTTTTATTAATTGGTTTTTCAGATGACAAATTACAAGAGAAAATGTAATGTACCTGATTGGATGCAAGAAGATGCAGAAGCGGCTATTAGTGCAATACGGATCAAAACAAGCATCAGAGAAGCTGGTAGAATATTTAAAATACCGAAAACTTGTTTACTTAGACGAATGAAGGAATTATCCCTGGGCACCTGCTTGGTAAATACAAACCTCTTTTTTCTGGCTCCAATAACTAGTAACACATTTGTTAGAGATACGGTCCAGTTTTTATGGTCTTAATCCATTAGATGTTAGAGCCTATGAACTTGCAGAAAGGCTAAAAATTAGGCATCCATTCAATAAAACTAAAAGCTTGCTGGAGAAAATTGGCTACAAAGTTTTTTAAAAAGAAATTCTGGACTATCTATTCGAAAACCTGAAGCCATAAGTCGTAATAGAGTCTTAGGCTTCAATAAAAAACAAGTCACAATTTTTTTTTGATTTTTTAAAAACAGATCGTTACAATTTTAGTGCAGAAAATGGCACAAATGCAAGTAGGAAAAATAGTTATCGGCGAAAGAGGTTCCTACATAACAATAGCATGTACATTTTCAGTGACTGGAAACTACATTTATCTATTTCCTCGAAAGAGATTAGCTTCATTATTATTAAGAAATGCGCCTCCAGCAGCTGTCGATTTTGCTAATAAATCTGGTTGGACCGATAGTAAGAATTTTTTGAAATATTTAGATTATTTTATAGATCATTTGAAGCCCACCAATGAAAAGCCTTACTAATGTTGAAAGAAAAAAAGTTTTACTAATGTTGAACGGGCACATTAGCCATAAAAAGCTTGAGGGTGTATTAAAAGCAAGAGAAAATCATATAGTAATGCTGACTATCCCACCTCACTGCAGTCATCGAATGCAGCCACTTATTTAACATTTTTTGGGCCATTCAAAGCTCAGTATGCTCGTGAATGCGATTTCTATTTGAGCATCCATGTCTAATTATCTATGTCAACTGATTACAATATACGACGTGGTACAATAATTAAGCGGCAGAGCATTCCAAAAAGTGGCTACAGTAGATAAAGCTGCCAAAACAAGTGGCCTCTATCGATTTAACCCGGAAGTTTTCGAAGAATCTTATTTGCTGCCTTCGACTGAAAATTTAAAAAACTTTTTTACAAATTACGAAACTACTACATTAACACAAACATCAACTTTAAATGTTCTTCCACCAAATGAACCAGGGCCAAGGTTATCAGAATTTAGAACATCTAAAGCAGAATTTGCCCAGTCTTCATCATTTGTAGAAGTATTACAAATCGTATCGTCAGTGGCAGTTTCAGACAATAAAAAGAAGAAGACGCAAAGCCTAGCCATACTAGCACACCTATTAAGGATGCTTTAGAAGGAAAACAAGAAAGAACAAAAGACATATTCAAACTAGCAGAAGTAAAAAGAAAAACCGATTAAGAAGGCCAAAGTGTTTTTTTAACTCCAAAAAAGAAAAAAGCTTAGCAAATATTTCTAAAAATCCACTAAACAAAATTAAATTACAAGAAAGAAAAAAAATGCAAAAATGATTGAGAAAAGTGACCAAATTTGTCATCGCTAGGCCCACGAAGAATGTGCGGGGACAGAAAAGGACGAGAATGAGTTCATCTGTGAGTTGTGTTTATGTTAACCATCTCCATTTTGTTCATACTTATTTTAAATATGGTGGACCTACTTGCCCCAAATTATGGGGCATGGAGGACCACATACATTGAACAATTTTTTTTTCTTACAAAGGTTAAAAAATTTACTTTAACATAAACCAGAATAACATATTTATATCATAGAGTTACACGGTACTTTTTTTATAATTATACCACAATAAAGAGAAATTATAATAAAGACATTTTGCTTAGCTGGTTCTCGCTGCCCCGGTCTCCGCTATCATAATTAATAGAACCACAAATTGAGAGTAGGATGATGTATTATTACCTGCTCCGGGACGAATTTAGAGCCACCCAAAAATAATTTCCAACATTTTGTCATAATAATAATTAAAAGCAAATCATAGAATATTATTTTTTAGGAAGCCAGAACAAGTTATGCAGGTATTGGGTGAATTAAAGGACACTGCCAGACCGATGATGATCTCCTTTGATGAAATGGTAACTCTGATGACTCAGTGTAAACAATTAGAAGAAGGGAGATTAATGAGAAGGAATAAGGAAGTTGGAAAGAATGGTGCTGAATTAACTATTGAAAGGTCGACTGCTTCAAAGAGCCCATTCACGTTATTGAATGGTATTGTACCTGGTAAGTTTTTCTATCTGTATAATTTAAATACCGCTGTACAATATAAGATAGGGAATTTCAATCTCAACATTTACTTTAGCAAAACAACTACACATGTAGTCGCATACAATTACGCTTTGTATTCATAGTTAACCATTTGATAAAAAAGGAACACATATTTGGCATATCCAAAGTTGAAGTTGTAAAGGTATTTTAAAGTAATGGATTAGCTAATCCAAAAATGTGTACTTGAAATTCATTTAAAACTTAAGAAATGTGGCTTTTTATATTAATAATGACTTAAATCTAGGTATGATATATGACGAATTCCGTAGAAAATACCCAATTTTTTGATGCCAAAAATTTTTTTTTGCTCTTTTGTACTCTCTTTAATGACAGAGTAGAGGCTACACAGGAAACGGTACTAGGCTCGGGCTTCAGTCTGGTAGAGGTCTCTTGGTAAAGGCTCTCATTACGGCTCAAATACAAACAATCAGTTAGAGAAATACTGAAGATAAAGGGGAGAGAAGTTAGAAGATAAAGAGAAGGGAAATAATTGGTACCTCCCTATTTTTAGAGGAACAGGGAAATCTTACGACATATAGAATAAGATAATAAGAAAGGTAAGATACGGTAAGATAATCACGCGAGAATAACATAAACCGTGCGAGAAAAGTTATTATGATTGTGCGGTACATACTTAATATTTCGACACATATATACTGTTTATATGATAAATCAACAAAAAATATCTTTTTTGAAAAATAGTTACGAATATTTTAGTATTCTCAAGAATAGGAAAGAAGCAATGAATATAATAGAAAAATCACCTTTCTATCAGCGAGCCCTAGACTCTAGCACAGATCAGGGTGAATGTAACTCGACAAAACTTCACCAGCTCCTGGGGGTCATGTTAGATCCCCCAGTTGTAGTTTTTATTATTTACCGAAGTTAACGGTCTATTGCATTTACCTTTGTAAATTTCACGAGGATTGTTTTTGTTACTGATGTCCTTCTAGTGTTTTTCTGTGGCCAAACAATGTTTTTTAACAACTTTTTATTAAACTGATGATGGAATGATTTAATTCCGAAAAGATCTTCTTTAAAATAAAGTTTTAAGCTTTTAATAAGCATTTTTTATACCTTGATACACACGAACACCACGTGCTTTGTATTCAACAAGTATACTAGTCACTCCTGGATATCTCCACTTCCTGGTTTTGTTAGAGTTTCATCCAATGGAATATGGGGGGGGGGGGGGGCAAGATTGCAGTGGTGTTACTAACGTTTTTAGTGGAATTAGAATGGATGTGTAATATGAGGTGCAAATTCATAGTGAAGCAAATCTCATTAGTGTTCATTGAAATAATCATGCATACTCAAAACTAAATCCACACAGTTCAAGAAAAAGTTACCATATCTTCAGCAACTAGAAACCCCAAGTTTGCAACAGTCAAACCTTACAATGGATAAACAGAATGGCCTTTTATCTACTAAAACTTATTTAATATGATAGGTAGAAGATTAGGTTAATACTGAAGTGGGATTTAAGTCCTTAATCTTGATTAGAAGACATTGATCATATTATTAAAAGCATCCCAAGTTGAAGAGTGGGAAAAATATAAAAAACTTTATTATTTATTATTTTCAAACGTTAATCGTTTGATGTGCTATATAAGTAAAACATACAAAAATATTTTGAGTCTCGTGTATTCATTATCCCACAGTATCATATTAAAAGTTCAAGATTTAGAAAACTAACTTAAACTAGACAATTTTTGTGAATATTATTTTTTTATTATCATTTTCAACAGGTCGTTATAAGTAGTAAAGATTGTTAACGTCAAAATAATTAATTCTGGTACCACTTATCTATATTTCTAGCAACAAACAACTTAATTATATTTTAAACGGTGTGCAAAATGATTCCATTTTGAAAAATATATGAAAATTTCCGTGTAACAGTCATCTATTTCTACTTTTTTATCTTACAGATTTCGCTGTCCTTGGTTCTATTTTTATACCGTTCTTGTTACCGAAAAACACTGGAAAAAGATCTAATAAGTTGTGGAAAGCTGAAAATGGGGCGAAACATACTAAAATAAACATTAAATATGCCGCACGAATAACATAACCAACTATTCGACAGTAATATGTCTTGTGTAAACTCAAGAGAAGTACAAACAGATGAAACAAGCAAAGAAAAATATACTAAAACAAAAGAAAAAACGACATTTAGTAAAACAGCTACTGGAACTAGAAAGGCTCAATTCACAAAGTGAAGCGCGAAAATTTTATAAAAATATAAACCACAATAGAAAAGAATTTAAACCTAGAATAACCATAATAAAAAGTAAGGAAGCCGAAATTATCAATGAGCCGGATCAAATAGTGGAAAGATGGGTGGAGAATTTTGCTGAGAAATTAAATATAGGCAACCAAGAAGTGACTGACATAAATGACCACAGTCTAGACGTAAACGATGAGAGGGAGAAAAATAATATACCAACAGAGGAAGAAGTTGCCAAGGCAATAAAAAGGTTAAAAAACAACAAATCCCCTTTAGAAGATGGTATACCCTCTGAGCTGTTCAAGTATGGAGCAAATGCCCTAAAAAATACATAATAAAACTTGTTGCATCCATTTGGAGAGAAGGAAAACACCCAGACAGTTGGAATGTAGTTATTATAATACCTATTCACAAGAAACGGGATCCACTAATATGTGACAACTATCGAGGCATTACCCTCCTAAATACGGCTTACAAAGTACTGGCTTATATACTTTATGATCGTTTACTAGTATATACTAAAGAAAAAATAGGCAAATACCAATGTGGATTCCGAAAAGAAAGGTCAACAAGGAAAACAAAGGTCAAATTAGAAAAGACATATGACTATGGAATTGATACCCATCACCTCTTCATAGATTTTAAAAGTACTTATGACAGTGTAGACAGAAGTGCACTTCATAATGCCATGGCATAACTAGATATTACGTCGCATCTAATAACATTGGTAACGGCAACTCTTTCGAAAGTTTAGTGCAAAGTCAAGGTACCAAACAGAGTGTCAATGTCTTTTTAAATACATACTGGATTACGCCAGGCAGACAGTCTATCGTGTAGAAAGAGCCATAGAGAAATCGATCATAACAACCAGAGGTACGATCATCAATAGAAATGTACATATATTGGCCTACGCAGATAATATTTACATAGTAACACGGACAAAACGAGACCTGATACGGGCTTTTGAAACATTAGAAAAAGCCGCGAAGACAATGGAACTGCAGGTTAACGTATCCAAAACAAAATACCTGAAGGTCACAAACAGCACACAAATAGCTGCACCACCAGATCTGGTGACAGAAGCACACACATTTGAAGGGGTCTCGGAGTTTATATATCTGGGAACACAACTAAATAACAGCAACTAAATCTTTTTTGGGCCTCTACGTCACGGAACAAGACACCCTGGTATCTTTCGGCCGAGTGGGATACTAAGCCAGAAGATCCTAGGGTAGTGCCGGATTAACCGTGTTCCAACTGAAACATTAACCACCATTCCAGAGAGGTGGTCTTGCCACTCAATAAAAAACTAAAATAAAAAAAAACCGAAAAATTTATATATAACCATATCTATTACCGTAAATCAGAAAATGCTTAGACGTTAGGCCATAAACTAATAAACAATATTAACTATAAATTTTTAGATCCCTGGCTTAATTTCCTCTTCTGTCCTCCTGTTCCTTTTTCTTCATCACCCCAGAAATCAGACAGTGTACTTCTTCCCATTCTTTCTCTCCTCTCAACATTATGTTTACAATATTTCTTTCATCCAGCACGAAAAGTAGTCTAGTTTCCTGAACTTTCATTCCCACCACGGTCTCAGATCGGGAATAAGCTCCTTCGTCCACCTTGCCTTTCCACTATCATTCGCTCATTCTCTCTGCCACTCTACTATCGTTCTTTCTCTTTCATTCTTATGTATATTTACATCCATCCTCCTCGCATACATCCTCGCTCGCACTTTACACAACAAAATGATCGGTATAACCGCTCCAATAGAGAAGCATTCGCTTTTGCGAAGTCTCCATCTGCCAGGGGCAGCGTAGGTTACTACCGACTGGAAAACTCCATTTAGCACCCTTCTTTTGGTACTTCCTGGGCCTCCAATGTTTGGCATCAACCGTATCAATGCTTCCAGATTTCGATTCGCCTTCTCTGCTGTCTTTTGGATGTGTACTCCGAACTTTAGACCTTCCGACAACCAGACTCCCAGATTTTTAATTGATTTAACCGGTGCAACCTCCACATCTTCCACTATAAAGCGAAGAGAGGATCTTTCCCGTGTCCCTTTGAGAACTAACACCTCAGTTTTCTGACGCGCTAGCTGTAGACCTTCTCTCTGCTCCAGCAACTAATGCAACGCAGGAGTGTATTAGCCGCATTAGCCATGTCCGTTTTCTGACTCGCCTTCGCAACCAGTGCGAGATCGTCGGCATAAGCTACAAGAGTGCATTCCCTTGGAATCTGTAGACTCAACACCCCGTCGCGTCGTACAGGACATTCCACAGGATGGGACCTAGTACTGAACTCTGTGGAACACCCTGCGACAAACTGATGCTGGTATCTTTTTCTCTTATGGACCTGTCAGTGAAGTATCTGTCAATTACGTTGACCAGGTATTCACTAACGCCCAATTCGTTAAGCCTGGACATTATTTTTTCCGATGATGCCGTATTAAAGGTATTCTTGACATCGAGGAGGATGAGAGTCACCCATCTCTTTGTATCCTGCATAACTAAAGAGGTTACTTCTTTGACCGCATCTATGGTGGAACTTTTGGCCCTAAAACTCGTATATTTGGAACATAAAAAACCAGTTCACGAAAGGTTCTTGACAAGATGGGTCGATATGTCGTGGAATGCAAATTTAGATCCTTCATATCGGTCCATTCATCGCCTGTTTGCTTTGAAAATTTTCGATGTTTCGAACACTTCGGAAATCTTCCGATTTCCATTTTTTATTTTTATAATTAAAGAAATTTATTCTGAACGTTTTGAGCTTTTGAATATATTAAATGCTTAGAAATAATTTTTTTTTCTAGGAACCAAATGGTGTGGCACTGGAGACATAGCTAAAAACTATTTCGACTTAGGAACAGATTCAGCCGTCGACTCTTGCTGCCGAGCTCATGATCTCTGTCCCGTGAAGGTCATGGCTAACTCCAAAAAGTATGACCTCGTCAACAATTCCTTATTCACCAAATCCCATTGTAGATGCGACGATGAATTGTTTCAATGTCTCAAAAAGTCTCTACCATCTCCATCTGCCAACTTGATGGGACAGATTTATTTTAATATAGTCCAAGTGCCGTGTCTTATGGATACGGATAAAGGATTGCAGTTTAGGAGTGCTAGAAAAAATTTCTAGAATAAATAATAAATTTAAACGAGATAATTGTATAAAATGTAAATATAAAAATAGTAGATAAATACGTAGTTGTCTAGTTTTTTGATAATTTTTGTAAGTAAAATATTTAAAATTTTTTTAATTAATTAATTTTAAGATGCCGAAAGTTTCCATGGTAAAAATTGCCTAGTTAAATTATTTTGTATTCGTTTGCTATATTAGGTTAATATTATATTCTTACTAAAATCTTTTATTTCAGTCAATACAGAATTATAATTGAGGCGTGTTATATCAAAAGTGACAATCTCCCACCTAGACCAATCTGAGCAAAGTTATAAAAACGATTTAGACATAAAAATCTGAAATTTTAAAACATTTATTTCTACAGGTACAAAGTTGTTACATTCATAACTATAATAAAAAGAGTAAATACCTTGTAGTCTCATTAATATAAAAGAAAATCGCATTAATATAATGGATATTGCTGACTTTGATATGAACCGTCGGAGATTGTTTATTTTGTTGTGATAGCATATGGAGATTGTTGACTATGCACCAGATAATTTAAAATATTCCTTTATGAGTGAAGATGGGGATTAATAAATAAAATTCAACTTAAATTATAATTTATTGTTATTTAAACTAAACAAATTATTTAGAAATTAAACTTAAACGACATATTCTGGTAATTCTTGTGTAGGTTGGCATAAATCGTTGTCTTCAGAAGGATCATTTCCAAAGTTGTCTCTTTCTAAAACGTCTTTAAAATAGGTTAATTCTTCAATACTCTTCCAGTTTAATCCATAATGCTTTTCTAGCAATTTTCTAACATCAACTGCTTTTGTTTTATTTGTAAATTATATTTTGCTATTATATCAGGAGAAAACTGATCCATATTTCTATTTTTTTTTTGTAATCGATTTATATTCGTTCATATCGTGTCTATAAACAGGTTCCCCTTTTACTAATATCATGTTAGATCTGAAACTTTTCCGTAGATAAAACCTTTTGCACTCGCTTATTTTAAAATGTAAGGAACTTGTGGATTTTATAACAGTGTCTGCAGCTTTCTTAAAATCGAACACTGCACAATCGCTTCCATGTACTATGACAGTTCCATGTTCCGCTATAATTTCTTTGTACTGAACTGGATTTACAATGTTTTCACGACTTCTGATTTTTTTCTCTATGTTACCAAAAATTCGATCAGGTGGTATAAATGAATGTCCCGTTACAGGGAACACAAGCTCAATTGTATTAATATTTGCAGGTGCTTTTTGGAGGAACCAGAATGAATATGCCGCAATGACTGTTAGATTCTTGTTTTGACCCCCACAACCATCAGCAATCAAACGAACGATCTTTTTTCCTTGAAAATTTGTATGTATTAGTCGATGGTACAAAGCAGACGCAATTTCATTCGAGCCCTTTTTGTGCTCGTCTTCTGTCCATGTATAACAAAACGTGTTGTTTTTGTCAAGTTTGTCTTTTGAGCATCCGACAGTGACTGTAAAATTCTAAAGATAAAGATGTCGACTATAATAACAACTTTGGTCTGGAATTTTAGGAAGAGGTAAATTTTTTTCGCAATCAAAACAAAATGTTATTAGATCTTCTCGTTTTTCTTTCACCAGATCAAAAAAGGCTTTCGCCCTAAGTTTGTGAACTTGTTTTTCGGCCATCAGAGTAGACTTTGCAGCAACATCTTTTTCACTTTTTATTCTTAAACCTAATTGAATACAAGTAGAGCAAGCATCTGTGGCAGGATGACCAAATCCTAGATTAAATTTGGTACTAAATATCTTCCAAAAAAATGTACGTCTGACTTTTTCGTGGTCATCAGCCTGATTATTGTACATTTTAAAGAGTCTGTTTATGTTTAACTCAGAACTTAGATACTTTCGGGAAGACGAACTTCTGCAGTAGTGTGATACATCACATTTAAATGTTTTTATATAAGCAATTACAGCCGATCGTTTGCTTTTATATTGACTAGATTTACGATCTCCTCCCCTGTTTTCTACTGGAGATGTTCCAGTTTTCGTAAAATTTTGTAAAACACGTTGAACACGACACCTTTTAATATCGAGTATATTCAGAAATGCTACTTGGCAAACTGGAATCAGAGTACCTTCTTTGTTGCTGATAAAATATTTAGTTTGAAATTGCTTTTTTGAATGCAGTTCGTTCTTGGGTCGACGTCTTTTCACGCATACAGTTTGAGTGAACTTAAGTATTAGAATATCCTGTTTGAGCTTATTGCAGCTCGAATAGAATCTGCCATGAAATGATTTTATATCTACCATGGTAAGACTTCGACACTGGAACGCACCAGAATAATGGCTACATTTTGGACTTATTGGAAGGGATGTAGGCTTATATCTGAAACAAAAAAATATATTGTTTTATGTGGATCTACATAATTATCACAAATATTTTATTTTCCTAGAAATTATATCTACTTATTATAAGCAATGTTTTAGTAATTTTATTATCGGCTCTAACAACAAACTATATCAGTTTTACTGTAGATATACAACAAAATTGTAGGCTACATACCTTGATTCTTTCTCCAATGTTCTTTTCCAATTCTTTGAATTTGAAGGTCTTTGTCTAGAATTTTCTTGATTTGTTTCAGTAGGATATTGTTCCATAATTAAAAATACGTTATAAAACTTTTCAAAACTGAATACTTTTTGTAATAAACCAAATTTTCTAATTGTGTTTTTCACGAAATAACCACCATTAATTATTATTTGCATGTTTACAAGCATACTAAAAGGACATTATCAACATGAAGTGTGGTTAAGTCACGTGATGGATATCTTAATGTTCATTGGTTGAATTGGATATTGTCAACTATGCTGTGAATACCTCAAGGAGATTGTTAACTTTGTAGCAAATGCCAGTTTTATTATAAGTATAAATTTGTTAGGGATTTTGTCTACTTTTACGAAAATACTCCGACTTAACCTATAAAGAAATATCTAGAGTGCAAGGGAGAACGAAAATCTCAATTTTAATAAAAATTGGAGATTGTTAATTTTGATATGATACGCCTCAATTAATGTAACAGTTTATGAAAATTGTTACGAGAAAATGTTCATAAAATTAAACATTGTGTATTTCTAAAATATTTTAATAATAATTGTTGGTGTTGTAAAATACATTTATTTATAATAACTGCTTTTATTCCAATACATAATAACATCCTAATAGAGATCGGATAGTATTCATCCTTATTTTTTACTATCATTTCTTTGCCCGATATACTTATTTAATTATACAGTATAGCCCAAAATAAATAGTATTGAACTTGTAATTATTTTATTGTTTTAAAAAATACATATAATTGACACTTTATAGCATGTTCTAAATGAGCTCCTCCTCTCTCAACAAAGACTTCATACCGATATTCCAGATTTATAATAATGTTATGGAATAAATGTTGTCTCAAATCCGCGAAGAACGCTCTAACGGCATCCTTTTAAGGCCGATCCTCGCGATTCTAGGCATAGGTAAATTCCAATGTAAAAGTATATCAAATACGCAAAAACTATGGCAGATATTGAGATGATTCTTTTTTTATATAGAAGGTCTAAAAAAGTTCTAGTGCACTATTTGGTTGTGAATTAATAAATTGTTTAAACAATATTTTTTTTTCAAATATTTTTGGTTAAAATAAACGTAAAAATTTTTTTTTTGAAATAGGGCACTACAAAATTTAACCCACTTTCCGAATCTGTTTTTATTTTTAACATTAAGTGTAACACAAAGCAGCTATTTGATATAAACTTTTAAAAAATTTCAAATTTCTGCTAAATGCAATTTTCTCTCCGTCAGCACAGGCTGTCCTTGTCGGTAGCTTCTGGATTCTCGCCAGGTAGGTAAAACCATCGGAGGAGGATAAATAAAGTTGAATAACATTATTAGGGCTTAATATTGTTCTGAAGCTATTTTCTTGCGGCATTTTAAATTAATTACTATTTAACTGGGAATAAGCTGGAAATAAATAATATATTTTTTTAATTAAATTTTAATTAAAAAACAAAATTTGTTTAATTTACTGTTTGTATTTTGAGAACGATTTCCGAAGTGGAAATTGAAATGTCAATAAACGTATTTTTATCTTTAATTGTGGCTTATTCCCAGTTAAATAGTAATTAATTATTAGGGCTTATTCCGACTTTTGACAAACCAGTGTGTTTATTGTATTTAAAATAGGAAATTTTATATAAATAAGCAGTAAGTACCTATAATTTTATTAATTTTTTATATGAATAGAAATATTTTCTGTTGATTAGTGACATTTTCCTTCTAAATATTTATACTGTTTTTATAATAATACTATTGTTTCAGTATTTGCTTATATAATAATAATTTTTTATATAAAAACAGCATAGAGTTTTGGTCAATCATCCAGTACATTTTTTTTTTGTATTTCAATCAGAATTATTATTTTCTTTTCTTCTTTACATGAGCTCAGGGTAATAACCAAAAATTTTGCAGTATTTGAATATGAAATTTAATTAGTTATATTTATTGGTTAGCAACCTATAAATCGTAAAATCAAATACTGCTCAAAGAAACAATGTACAGTCTCGGAACCGGATTGATACTATGAAGACGACTACGGCAAGAAATAAGGACAAGCGAAAAACATCCAAAACCCAGATGAGAATTATGTACTTGGAATATCAGATCACTCAACTCAAGGGACCAACAAATAACCTAAGTGTTGAAAGAGAAAGAAATAGACATTTATGCTCTACAGCAAACAAAAAATAAAGGAAAAGGTCAATCAAAATTAGGTGAATACATACTAATCTACAGTGGAGTATCAAAAGAAAACAGTGCCAAAGAAGGTGTAGCCTTACTAATACACCAAAGGTATCAAAATTACATCAAAGAGTGTCAATATATATCAGAAAGAATAGTAACATCAAAGATAAGAATCGAGAAGGAAAACCTGAACATTATCGGAATCTACGGCCCAGAAAATAATAAGCCTCAAACAACAA